CACAATTTAGGAAAAAATGCAAAGATATGTCACCACTCACAGCTACAACATTACGGGAATGGGACAGGTACCACAAAGAGAGGGGACTGGATGGGGCGCTCTCTCCAACACTACTACTAGATCTGGAACTAACACATTTGCATCAGCTGTTCAGTCGAGGAGAAATGATCTCATTCAAACAACTCCAAAATACTTATTACCTAGTTCAGCAGAATTTGCACACAGACAGATATACGCCTGGTTACATAAGAACAAAAATATATTACCCACAGGAGACATATGGGGAAACATGTCAATATTAGTAATATCCGTACTGTACAACTAACACCATCAATCACAAGACCCTCACACACTCCAGCTTGTAAAAGCATGGGAAACAGAATTAGGGAGACACCTGACAAACGAACAGTGGTCACAAATACTGTATGCAAACAAAAAAACTCACGCTCAATACAGCCCATCTGGAACTAGCAAGGAAAATATTATGAATTATAGTAGGTTAAAAAGCCTACACGTACCAGGAGATCTCTTACCGGATGATATAAATTGTTAATCTAGACAGAACTAGAAAACTCTAAAATATAATATCGAAACCACTTGTAAATGCATGAATTACTAAAATAGTAAAATCCACCAAAATATCTTAAAATGTACAAAACTTGAAATATAAAAAACTGTTTGTAATATACATAAATTCACTAGGTGGCAGCCTTGCATAAAATAATCTTTGGTATAAAGAGGATCTTCTACTAAACAGCAAAAACTCTTAATATAAAAAGTGGTGGGGGGGGGGGAAACTTTATGATTGACTGCAATGAAATTATAAAATATATAAAAATAGATTATCCAAAACAACTTGATAGTCCAATAAAATCCAGAACGATGAAAAAGTAAAATAATGTCCAATAAAGTCTTTGATAAACAAATTTCTTTTAGTGCAACAGTACCGATATCACATCTCACACAGTGTGCTTCTGCTCGATAAAATAACAGTAGCAATAAAGTGTCACGTTGTGAATATAATTTAACCAATGTTGGTATATATCAGTAGAATCTCAGATAGCAGCAACAAACTAACAGTTACTCATATACCACCAATACGGGTATATAGTAATACGATCTCTAGATGATCGGCTTATTAGTAAAGTTCAAAGTGCTTATATTAAACATTTCATATTTATTGAAAATGAAATTAAAATCAGAACACACACACAACATTGAAGTGTAGTATTCCAGCAAATGAGTCCCTTATCGAGTAGGAAAATTGGGTGATGGTCAGCAACATTGAGGAACAACTTTCTCCGGCCGGTGAAATGATCTTACTGTGTTGGGAGAGGTGAAACACCTCTCGTGTGCGTTCCACTCAGTGTGTCGGATTTGCGTTCCACGGTTGCTCGGTAGCTGGATCGATGTACGGCAATTGCCGAAAATGCCTTACGCGTTTCGTGACAATTCACAGTCACTTCTTCAGAGGCGGATGAACTTCTGAGGCTGCTGCTCCGTTTTATATAGTAATCGCTGGCAGCTCTATTAATTGACAGCTACTCATGTAATACAAGATAAAGTCCGTTTCAAAACACATGAATATTGAATGCCAGATGATAAATATCAATTAATAAATGTCCACATTTAAAATAGTTCACAAACAACAATTATAACATACCATATTTGGTTACTTACATAGTACCATATAGAATGTGACGGCAGATAAGAACCATTCGGCCCATCTAGTCTGCCCAATTTTCTAAATACTTCCATTAGTCCCTGGTCTTATCTTATAGTTAGGATAGCCTTATGCCTATCCCACGCATGCTTAAACTCCTTTACTGTGTTAACCTCTACCACTTCAGCTGGAAGGCTTTTCCATGCATCCACTACCCTCTCAGATAGAAACATAGAAAATGGAGATGCCGTGACCCGGATTTGAACCGGGGTTGCTGCGGCCACAACGCAGAGTACTAACCACTATACGATCACGGCACAACGGCCGAGCCGGGTAGGAGTCAAACCTACAATCTTCTGATCCATAGTCAGACGCATTATCCATTGCGCCACTGGCCCATGTTTCATTACATCCTTACAGTCGAATATGCAGGGTAAAGTAATAAAAAAAACTCATCAATCAAAAGGTTGAAATATTCTTGTTCTAGCCCAAAATAATTTGATCATAAATATATATTTTATTTAGAATGGCAAGAAGGATTCACATAAACGCTAGAACCTGGAATTAGAACATATACTATATAATCATATCAGACCTTACAAGGATACTGATTCTTACTGGAACTAAAATAGTTAAATCGTGTGTACCACTGATGTGTCTATTTTCTATTTGGTGCTCCGTGTATCACCCTTTAATCAGTAGTTAGTAGTGAGAAAAGGATCATATAGATCAAAAGATAGAGAAAAAATAGATAGACCGGAATACTATACAGAAATACATCTTATATAAACTGCCATATAGCCGCCAGAAAGTTAATTAAAAACCCTCATTAGGGTCTACGACTAAATGTGTTATAAATCTACACAGTTTATTGAAATGTGAAAATAATGGTGAATAGTGGAAGATAGAAAATACAGAGGAAGAAAAAAGAGAAGAACGGTAAAATTCGTGGGACATAATATACTTAGAGAAAGCGTGATATTTGTATACACCTTAAATGGATACATAAGTATTTTCAGTACGGGACCATCATTTTGTCATTCAAGAATTGGAAAGTGCTCACAAGCACAGTAGTTATGGTAGAAAGAATAGGTTTACATTGAGCAGGAACTACACCCCTGAAAAGAAGAAAGCAGGAGGCATATAGAAATAACACCACTAGTGGCAATAGTAACCGAAGTGGCAAATTCTCAATGACAAAGACCTAGGAATATACCAAAAGAAAATATAAAAATAAAAAGAAATGAAAATAAAAATAAAATATAAAGATAAAAAATATAATATAAAAATAAATTTCAAAATAAAAATAAAGGAAATATTATACCGTTGGTACTTAGTGCCAACACGCTTGAAACACATGAAGCCCACACTTACAGGACTGTGTTGGAGGTGCAATAACTCCCTGGGTACCAGGTTAAAAAGTGTATGAGGTAATGGCCAGGTCCAATAAACCGTCACAAAGATTTTGGAAAGAAGCGTGGAGCCAATGGGACAAATACCAAAATACAAAGCGGCAGTCCCACACACCATAGACCACATAGTCTGCATGATATAAAAACAGCAACACTCAACTCTCCCACAAGGAGAGGGTTACATTAATCCATGCGGGAAATTACTAGAGCATGGACAAGCTCTTTGATACCAAAGAGAAAGGGGCGGATGCGGGCTATGTTTTTAAGGTGGAATCTACAGGATTTGGTAACATGCTGAATGTGAGGCTAGAATCAAATATGACACCAAGACAGCGCGCTTGCAAGGATGGACTGATTTGGATATCACTGACTTGAAGGGAGAGCGAAAGAAGAGGATCAGTATTAGGAGGAGGAAAGACAAGAGGTTCAGTTTTCAATAGATTTAGTTTAGACATCCAGTCAGAGATGGAGGAAAGGCAAGCAGTGACACGTTGCAAGACAGAAGGGGAGAGGTCTGGGGAGGAGAGATATAGCTGGGTGTCATCAGCGTACAGGTGGTAGTGGAATCCAAATGAGGCAATGAGTTTGCCAAGAGAGGCAGTATAAAGAGAAAATAGAAGGGAACCAAGGACAGAGCCTTAGGGGACTCCAACAGAAACAAGATGAATGGAGAAGGTTGTAGAATATTGCATACTGTTTGTATTGATTATGTATGGATGTCTGGATTGACATAAGTAACAGATGGTATCAATAAGTGGCTTTCTTTTATGAGACCTCTGGAATGTGGATTGGGGTCTTGTCCTTATATGGCTAGAGTTATATTCTGACGTCAGTATGGGCACATCTATACAGTAACTGAACAAAGGGACACGAGGTCTCTCTGTCTCTCTCTCTCGATGTAGCGATGTAACTCTCCCTTCAGGAGTCCAGCAATTACCATCTGCTGTTGAACATCCATGATCATGTAACATCCTTTGTTGTTTTATTATGTATCAGTAACTAAGAATAAACCATAAGAAACTGTAATTCAGACTGCATATTAATACTTTTAATTAATATAGACGTATATTAATGTAGCCAGCCTTTGACCCAAGACTATGTATACAAAAGACGTATATATATATCAATCAACTGGAGAAATCACAGAAAGACACAGAAGAAATTAAGATTTTACATTGGCCAGCCAGACAGTGTTCTATTTAAGTTTTGTTCCCACTTCCAGGGGGGAGAGAGAAGAATCGAGTTACAAAGCTGAGTTTTGGAACTGGGAAAACACACTTGAAGAGAAAAAAAGAATCTAGACTGTGTCACATGGATTAAGAATATTTGCACAGCAAAAGAACTGCGTGAAGAACTGTGTGTTTGTAAGAAAATGAAAGTTTTCAAACCAGAAAGACTGTACAAGACTGTATTTTCTACAACTGAGACAAAAAGCACAAGATACAACGTGAATTCTAGAAGCAAGCACGTGGCAGAGATTGGCACATTTCCAGATCCAAGTCAAGAACTGCGCAGCTGTGTGGATGAAGCAACGAAATAGACAGAAATAACTGATCTGGTGAGTAACATGGAATTCATAAATGATATTGCAGAGAAAAGTAAATTGCAGTTTGCATTTAATAGCAGCTATTCAGATGCTGTATTGTGGCAATCTTTATACACACAATGTGAAATTGCCAATACTGAAATTGACAAGAAATTGTTTGTTAATAAGAAAAAACAAAAGATCAGAAATGTTATGAAACTAGTCTGTACTTACAATGCATTGATTTGTAAACGAGATGCAGGTCAAAAATATTTTGAATCAGCAGATAAAGAAGTAGATTTGAATGGGTTAACAGAAGACAAATCAGATTTAAATGAAAAGTGTAACAATGTAACAGAGAGTACATGCTGTAACTGTGAGAGATTGTCAGAAACTGTCTGTGAATTAGAGGATAGAGTTGAACTAAGAAATGATCTTATTTGCCAGTTTACAAATGAAGTTAAGGATCACTATAGTGTCAGGAAAACAAAGCGGTTTTCCTGACACTATAGTGCCCTGAGGGTGCCCCCTCCCTCAGGGTCCTCCTTCCGTGGTGCTGAAGGGGTTAAAACCCCTTCAGTTACTTACTTTAATCCAGTGCTGGGCTCCCTCAGCGCTGGTGACCTCTCCTCCCCCACCGACGTCAGCTCCCCCTTCCGACGTCAGCCGAACCGAATGCGCATGCTTTCCTATAGACGTTCTGCACGGTGGATGCGAATTTCGCATCCAGCATCGCAGAAGCGCCTTTAGCGGCTGTCAGGAAGACAACCACTAGAGGTTGGATTAACCCTGCAATGTAAACAGCAGTTTCTCTGAAACTGATAAATTTACATGTGAAGGGTTAAAACCTGAGGGACCTGGCACCCAGACCACTTCATTGAGCTGAAGTTGTCTGGGTGACTATAGTGTCCCTTTAAGCACGTGTGTGTGTGAATACAAGAAAAATACAGGCACAGAATCTAATCCCAGAACCAATAGATACTGAAAACGTATCCTCACAAAGTACTTTGTAGAAATGTAAATTTCAAGACAGAGCTGCAAATTTTTAATTTGAAAATCCATGAACAATTAATAAAAATTGTGAAAGGAATTCCAGTTTATGACACGTCAGTAGATGCATTTAATAATGCTGAAATGTTTGAGTCAAATTTGGACAAATATAGCCTTAATGACGAACAACGGCATAGACTATTTAAAATATGGCTGCCGACTCAAATTGCATGTAGGCTGACCGCGCCCGTAAGATTTGAGAACAATGATGAAATAATATATGGAAATAAGCAAGACAGAGTAACACAATTAATAAAATTAACAGGGAATGATTTTGAGATGTTGGAAAAACTGAAACCAAAAAATGATGAGGATATTTTTAGTTTTCTTGTAAAATTTGAAAGTGCATATCGACTTGTTGCTAATTTTCCTGAAGATCAGTTAATTAATGAATTTGTGAAAAAAATTGAAACTCTAAAACCAACTGCAATTGTGATAGCTAAAGAAAAAAGAACTTTGAGAGAAGTTGCTTTGTTCTTAGGTAAATTAAGGAGGGAAACCAGAAATGAAGGGGTTTAAATGGCTTGTGGAATTAATTAGAGAAAGAAGCCTCTTCCTTCTTGTAAAAGGGTGATACAGACAGCTGAGCGCCTCCCAATTTTCTCAACTAAAAACTGCAGAGTTAACAATCAAAGGCCGACTCTAACTCCTAAAGTTATATGTTTTTGGTCTTGCAGATATTTTATCCGAGATATCAAATCAAATGGAAATGAGAAATTGAATTTGTTGATTGAAAAATTGCATAGTGGAAATACATCAAGTGATACATCAATAAAGGAATTTCCTTGTAAACTGATAATCAGACAAATAAGAGCAATTTTAGCTAAATCAAAGTTAGGCGACAAACAAGCAATGCAGTGTAACCTAGGAAGTAGTAAGAATCACAGAACTTCACGAGACATGATCAGTTTAGAAAATGAGCATGGATATGTGTGCCAACAGATGTGCACAGACTGATCAAAGAGTTAAAAACGGCACAAAAGAATAGAGATCTATGTTAGTTTGTTGTTTTACTGAATTGTTAGTCTGAACTGTTTTTTTGTTGTTTTTTCTTTTTTTTTTTTATTCGTTTCTTTTTGTTGTGCTCAGTTAACAAACAGGCCTGCTTTGCCACAACAGCAAGAGCAAGATTAGTAAAACACATATCATAACAGTGTGGCAGTGGAGATATTAGCACAATTTTTGGTATATAGATAACACGATAATGCAGATGTCAGTGAATCCTATAACAGTAGCAGGCAAAGCTTTAAGTACTGGAACTGGCATCGTAAGAATTATAAGTGGTGTAAAACATGCTACAGGTGATAACTCAAAAAATTAGAATATCGTGCAAAAGTTCATTTATTTCAGTAATACAACATAAAAGGAGAAACTAATATATGATATAGACGCATTACATGCAAAGCAAGAT